TTTAAAATTATTTAATTAAATATTATTAAACGACCTCTCTCTTACGATCGTTGATAGTCGACGGTCAATGGTCAACATCCGCCCGAACTGAACTTTTGTGCTGGTCCGCCACGTGCAATCTCTTAACTCTTAAGTCCTTATAGCATTATGAATGAAGATTCCCAAAGCTCACTAAAGGAGTGTGGAAGTTCGCCAAATATTTTATGAATTTTAATGTTTATGAGGTTTTGTTACTTTTGAGTTGGGCATTTACCAGGTTGAACAACACATTTCTTCTGCAGGAGAATATAGAACCTCATTTGAGAGACAGGGAAGATAAGGTTGATATTGCTTGCTGTATGCAGCATTTGCCAGTAGGAATTATTTCCTATAGTGTTTTGCCACTCAAATGCTGGTTTGTGTCTTCTGATATGACGTAGAAACATAATATGTCTACTTGTAGCCGTGCTTTGAATCTGAGGATAAAGTGAGGAGATTGTTGTACAATGTCTCATTGCTGCTGAAACCCGGAGGTTATTTTATTGGTATCACTCCCGACTCATCAACAATATGGTATGACAATCGCCAGTAATTTATATTTGTTTGCATGTTTGAAACTATTCTACCGGTATATCTCATGCCTGACATTAGGCTTCCCTTTATTGTAAGATCTGGATTGTATTACTTCATTGTTGAATGTCAACCTAATGAACACATATATGTAATCTTCAAGTTGTCTCTATTTTTGTTAAATTTTCGATGAATGATTGGAAATAGATGAGGCGTGGAGAGTTGTGTTGTCTAGGCCCTGAAGTACTAGCTGATTCAACCTGATTGTTTGTGTGTAATCTGGAGCTTGTTGAACTTGTGACAACCACTAAAATGCTGCTTCCTTTGAAGTGAGTTTGTTAATCGGTATGCTATCATCTCTTTCCAGGTTTGAAAGGTTTTGCCTATATTATTCTTTACTTTAGTGTTGCTTAAATTAAAGGAATGAAGGGCATTGGAAAAGGTCTAATCTGTAGTGTTTCCCATAAATGTTTCTAGCTAAGTGTATGAAGTAAACAAAAAATGAAGGTTTCCTGCTATAGGAGTCCACCTTTGATGGATCATATCTGGTGATCAGCATTTGGGTTCTCCAGCCTGCCCTCATCTTCTCTCTAAAACTCGACCAAAAACAGCAAAAGAAAATCTAAACAAAAAAGAAGAAATGTTTGTGAAGTTCCTATTTTTTTTATTTTTTTTTCCAACTGTGGATTATTGGTCCAGAAGGTGAGATTACACCTCGTTATGCTTATGCAATAGTACTTAGAAGTTGTATGGCAACGTGGGTTATTTCCTTCCGTTTCTTGCTTATCATGTATATGGGTTTGCCTTTGGTGGTTTTCTTAAAGAGAAGAAAAGAAAAGATTTCTCTTTCTATTTCACATTGGAGATCCTTTATCATGTGATAGTAATTTCCTAGGTTATGCAGAGTATTAATATACTTGTAATCTATCGCAGATTTGCTCATGTTTGCTTGACAAAAATCAATTTAAGGTTTGAAGTCTTTTATGACTATTTAAACCATAATAAAATGGCATAACCTTGTTGGAATAAGTACCAGAAAAATGTTGAAGCATACCACAACAAGAGTAGTGGAATGAAGCCCAACATTGTTCTTAACTGCATTAGATCTGAGAGCTACGTGATCACTTTTGAAGTTGAGGAAGAGAAGTATATTTCCATTTTAATACATTCTCAGGCTCAATTTCTTTGTGCTACTTTCTTGTGACATTGGATTGTTTGTCACTAATTGTGTTAAATTGACTTCCAGGTTCCCCTTTTTCGGAAAAAAGTACCACTTGAAATTTGTAGGTGATATTTCTAATGAAACCCATTGCTTAGTCTATTTCCCAAGCTTGCTCAGGTTAATATTTTCTATTGTGATTATAAGCATATATCTATTCTTAAAGTTGTGATGATTCCATCCTAATATCCTATTGGGGTTGTTTGGAAAGTGTTTACACATCTATGGCCCATGCATTTTATCGGTATGTTTGGTAGCCTAAGCTTGTTAGTGTTTCGCCCTATCAAGTGCCCCATATGGCAAAGGGAATAGCTTCCTTCAAGCATTATGATGTCACTTCATCTTGTGTCCCCCTTGAGTATGATGCAAAGATTTTCCATAAAAGAATGTGATTGACCTTCAAAAGCTTAAGAAGACAATGACTAATCAAAGCTCGATAATAATTAGTAAATAAGTCCTTGAATTTATAGTTAAATCAATATCACTGTGCATGAGAAAGCTATGAATATTCATAGATCAATATATTTGTTCAAAGGAAATCTATGTATTGGATAATTGTTTTATCGCAAGAATGTAATCAATATTTCATCGAACATAATCCCTTATCTTACACTATAAACTGAAACTTCAACTTTCATGGATACACTAGCACATTCTCTTTTTTTCCAGGGAAAAGGGAGAGGGGGAGGGAAGGAAGGAAGTTGCTACTCCTATCCATATGCTTTCACTGGGTAAATCCCAATTAAGGAGCTCCCAGGAACTAAGACATGCATGATGCAGGTGCCTTCAAAATCTTGATATTTTTATGGATAAGCATCTGCTTTGGGATGCTTATTATCTGTTCTTCGTTTGACTTTTTGATTTTCAGTTATGAGAATTGGTAATTATGTTCCATAGGTTGGCTAGAGAGGCTGGTCTTGAGTACATGGAGATAACAAACTTGACAGAATTTTATGACGATAATAGGTACTTTCTTTGAACTTTGTTATCTACTTTCTCTTACCGTTTTTATGATTACCCTTGAACTTGTGCGGGTAATTGAAATATAAACAATCATCTTGTTTATTATAATTTTGTTGTCAATTTTAAAGTTTTGATACCATTTTGCATCCAAACCCTGTTTGACAACCATTTGTTTGAAGAAAATGTGTTTTTGAACAGTAATTTTTTTTTGGAGAATATGTGGTTAAAAAGTAGGATTTTTTTTTGAGTTTACGTGAAGAATATTTATTGTGAGAATGTATGGTTGAAAATGAGTATGAGAAAAAAGAGTTTTGAAAGAATCTTTACCAAACAGGGGCTAAATGTTGTGTGCTCACTAGGCCTTAAAACTTAAGGTAAAGTTCTAACTAATTCACTACGATAAGTTTCAATATACATCTTAAAGATTATATTGTATTCCAAGAAGAGAGGAAACAAACAGAGTCCCTAAAAGTGACCTATCATTACATCAGCATTGTTCATTGTCTGCTAATTATTTGTGAAAGATGTTTTCATTGGTCGTGTTGTTTTATCTACGACACAGTAACTTTTGCAATTATGTCTGTAGCATAACTGATGCATTATTATCATATCAGATATTACTTTTTTCTCTATAGTCCTAGTGGCTTAAAAATATCATATAAATCTTCTGTCTTTGGTTAGACCAATTACATTATTGATCTTGTTTGAGTTTCTATCAATTGTTTGATCTTGTGAAAGGTAATGAAGAGTTTCTATTGTTCTCTATGGTGTTTTGACACGTAATGGTCCATGGATTGTTTTTACCGTGATCTATTGTTAGGAACTCATGGGTGTACCAAGAGTTTTGAACTGTACAAATTTGTTACTTTATTGCTATGATTTGTGCTTGATAATTTTTTTTGATAAGCACACTGATTGTTCTGCTAAATAACGTTAAAGGATTGTAGTTACCTGTTTCCACTTGCTATAGCGTCCATAAATTGGTATCGGTTTTCACAAAAACCCCTGCCGCACTTTAATTTTTTTCAGCGGAGCACTTGAAATATTTAAATCCAATACAGTTCTTTGATGTTATATTTTAATTGAATTATTGGTTTTATGATAGTTCCAAAGCATGGTCCGGTCTTCTTTTTTTCTGTACATAAACTCCCTTTCTAGATTGTTGTTCTCACCCCCACATCTATGATTAATTGGAGAGGACATTCCAAATTTCTGAATCTAAACTCTAGTATGGACATTTTTTTTATTTTTTTTTGTCTCTTTGTCAGCTGCAAATTTCATGGATTCTTTCTTCTTGTATATTAAATTTTCTAAAAAAGTGAGCAGTTATAGTACGTGCAGCATTAAAGCAGCTGTAGAGCATTTTTTATTATGCCCTTGTCTGGTTTAGATACAAATCAAATTTTTAGTAGATTTTGATAAAAGTTGATGGAATGTGTGGTTGAAAAGTTGTTCCCATGAAATGTATGTTAAAATTAATGACTTTAACTTATATTTAAATCCACTTTTCTAGGTGAAACAAACAAAGGCTATAATGTTGTTGATATATTATTTTAGTGGGAAAGTCTGACTTTTGTTAACTTCACTTTGCTCTTAAGAGCACAGTTTGCAGTTATGCTGATGGATGCTGGTCCCAACCTTGTTGATCCTAGAGGGAGGCTTCTTCCCAGATCATATGATACTTTAGGTGATTCATTCACTCCACGTCTTGTTACATTATGATTAACATCTTGTAACTTTTTTTCTGATACCTTCTGCAGGTCTGTACACCACTTTCATTTTTCAAAAGCCTGATCCAGATATTGCCCCTCCTCTCTCTACACCAGTGTTGGAAGATGGGTGCAGCAATCATGATGAGGCAAGTGTTCATAGAATTAGAAAGGGTATCATGAGAAATGGCCGTTGTTTTAGGTGCAATTGATTACATAACTGATTATGTGCTTCTTAACCAAAATGTCATCATCTTAAAGTAGATGCAGTCTTACTTTTGTAAGCAAAGTTTAACTCATAAAAACAATGAATCCGACTTGTTTATGTCTTAAAGTCATACAGTGGTGGACATTTGGCTACCTCACTGTCCTTTGAAGCACCATGAAAGTTATACCATTTTGCACCCGTTGGTGCCATAAATTTATACCCAACTTATTGGGCGTCTGAAAGTTATACCTTTCAAGTAGATGCCCTGCTAAATAGAACTTTAAAAGGAAAATAGAATGAGAATGTTACAAAGCTCTTTTAACTTACCATGATGTTTACTCAGTTATGCGACAAAAGGTCATTGCCTAGCCACGAATTGAGCCTTAATTCGTGGAATTAGGAAAACTAGTACTTTCAGAGACATTGAAAAAAAACCCAAATTGGTTTCACGTCATGGTTGAAGGTGTAAGCTATAAAGATGTGGAAATATTTGAATTTGGGTCCATGTACGAAATCATAACTCCAATGTTTTGTTGTAGGTATCAGTTATTTGCTGATAATTTAGTTTCAATCACAGAGAACCCGGGAGGGGGGGTGTAGCTTTCACGTCATGGTTGAAGGTATAAGCTGTAGAGATGTGGAAGTATTTGAATTTGGGTCCATGTACGAAATCATAACTCCTATGTTTTGTTGTTGGTATCTATTAATTCTAACTATTTGAACTTTACAGGACTATTTGGAATCTGAGGGTTTCATTTTTTAGGAATTAAAAGAGACTATATATATATATATATATATAATGTCCTTGTAGTCCAGGTGTGAATGGGGTATCAGTTACTAAAGGTTAACTATTAAAATAAAAAATGATTATAATTGCCACCAATTGAAGATATTGAGAGAAAAAGGGGGACGATTCAAATAGGCGTGACATCTATAAAATATATATAAAGAAACTTCCATTCACAAGAGCATGTGTCAAGTGGAAAAAGTTAGAAATATGAAAGAGTTATAACTTAATGCTGTGATATGGTTATAAAATATTTGACTTCCTTGGAGCTTGCAAAAGAGTTCGTTCAAATTGAATGGAATGGCAAGCGTGTGACCCAAGTTATTAGTACTTTTTGTTACCACTTTTTTGCTCTTTTTTTCTCTATAATAGGTTATTTTAATTTTCCTAATACTTGACGTAGTATAACGAGTATAAATAAAAAATTAAAGAAAACGTCACTAAATCAAGTGATAAAAAGGTGTCATCTCAACTTTATCACTCGTCGTGAAACTAAATGCATAAAAAAGTTATAGTATTTCAAAGGAGGGAAAAAGAAGACGAAACAATGTTTAAGACTTTTAGTTCATAGTATCTTCTGATAGGATTGCACACAAACCAAATCGATCAAAATTACAGATTATTAAAAGTTGAGTTGCTTATTTAATGCATTTTTTCTTTATTTGTGATCTTAAATCACGCATTTGTTTTCATTTGTTAATATTATATTTGCAAACAAACAAGTTATTTTTAATCCTATTTTCAAATGTAAACGTACTTTTTTAAAGGAATAAATTAGATTTCATAATGAACAATTCCCCTTGTACAGGGGAATTGGTTCACAGGCACGTTACAGGTGTTATGTTGGCAGCACCTGTATGGTGCTTCTTTTGTGTTTTGGGCTAAGGATGAATGAAAAATTGCCAAGTGAAAGTCCATAAAAATTCTGTGAACCATTTTCTATACACCTAGCATCACTCTTTCATAATTTCATTTAACTATTTCAAAACTTTGTGACGATATTTCAAATAAATGGGAGAAAATCTGAAGACATGTGAAAAAAGAGTTTAAAAGTATCTTTTAATAATAGTTTTTTATATAGCAAAAACACAAAAGGGAACTGAGAGACAAAGGTGATGATAAAGCTCTCTTCCTTGTTAGTAAAGAGGAAAATGTGGGCATCTTTGAATTTTGATAATCTTTTGAAATGTGTTGAGATTCATATGCAGGATAAAGTCATAAAGATTTCTATTATTAGAACATGGGTCAACTTCATTACCTATCTTTTTATCTTAATTGAAGTCCTTTATTGGTCATGCAGAAATAAAGGGTTCTATTTTAAATTTCATGAAGGCCATCAGATTTCGATATATTACAGGTTTATTTACCTTCTGAGATGAGAATTGCTCGCAAGGTTTGCATTAACGAAGCCATCCAGGTTGTAAGAAAGGGACAGCAGTCTAAATCAATGGATAAATGTAGAATGATGTTGATATACATGTTCATAGAGTGGTTGAAAAATTGTTTTTAAATTCATCGAGTACGTAGCCAGGCTATTTAATACATGTGATGACTTATCCTAGAAACATGAAATCTTTTCATGTATGTATTTGTGGGTCTTAACCTTCAAGGTTTTTTTCCCTGCATTTTTGTGAATTGGATTTCTTTGATGTCACAGAGAGATTGGCAAGGGACTGACTGGAGAGAAGATGAGAAGAATGGAAAGACAGATTCAGATTTAGGACTGGGGAAGATAACCGAGCAGAAAGGCATTTTAGGTCCAGGTCCAGCAGAGTTACGCTTTCGGGAAGCTCTTTGATCTGTTTCAAATTGGGTTTTTGAATGAAATGGGCACTAAGGAAGCAACAAGTTAGCATAGTTGTTGCCTTATGTATTCTAGCAAATTAGTAAATGTACTTTATTATAATGCAAGCATGGGGAGATTCCTTACCTGCTAATGCACTGTATATCCTTATTGGCACTTTTAAGTCGCCTGAGACATATTAGACTGTACAGTAGACTGAGATTTTGCTTCGATTCTTTTTATATTTATTGTTAGGATTTTGCTGAAGTGCCCAGAAGTTTGACATAGGGGTTGACACCACCCTCACATTTGCACGTGGGTCCCGACCTAAATAAAAAAATGCCGACCTCCCATGTGTGTGTATTTGGTCATCGTTTATGTCATTCATTATGTTTTGTAGCAAGACCCTGTTTGTTATAGTTGCGGTTAAATGTGCAATTAATGTAGAATCGGTATAATATCAGTGTATGGTACACTAATTATATATTGAAAATGGAATGTGGGCAAAACTGCCTCTGTTTGCTAAATTTATAAATAGTTTACAATAGAAATAGGAATAGTAGTAAGTCTCAGAAATGTGTGACAATTACAAGTAGGTATGAATATGTAGTTGACTGAATGCTAAATTTATAAATTATGAATGTGTTTGTTTTCCATTTTTTTCAAAATACATTTGTCTCTTATTTTAATCACATATTTTTCAATAAAATAATATTACACGCAAATAAAAATTTATCCTTATTTTTTAACCACACATTTTTATCAAATAACTATTCAAACATGCATTTTTGGCTGAAAATGGGGCTCAAACAAACTCTATATCCAAACGGAACGGTATAGAAGTGTCGAACATGTAAAGTGGACTATCAAATTTTCTCAAAATAGCTATGACTTATGTGGGGCGACAATTGAATCTTTTTTTTGTGTGTGTGTCTAGTACTTAATTAAGTCATTCTATTATTATAATATGTTCTTGAGTAACATATGCTTGAAAAGTGTATGAATATCGAATTTTCACTAGTCATACATGTTAAAACTTGAGGTTCCATCTTAAAAGGTCAACTTTATTAAGATGAGTAGTCAAAATCCTTATAAATTGGTCTATGTTTTCTCTTTATTCGATGTGAGATTATATCTCTTAACATGTCCCCTCAAGATGGTGGCTCATTTGAACAGACCAATCATGAAATCAGTGTGCTCATTTTTTTTAGTCTTAATTGGATCGAATTGCTCGTTGGAGATTAATGAACTTTGATACCATGTTAAGATTTAAGGTTACATCTTAAAATGTCAACATTAAGAGTAGTAGCACAAACTTTTATAAATTGGTCTATATTTTCATCTTTATTCGATATGGAATTCTATCCTTTAACAATACAATATTTTAGATAATTTTGCCTGGTTTATAAGTTGTTTAAATTGTAGGCTGGCTTATATTTAACTCTTAAATCAAAACCAGCAATAAGCTCAACCATCCAACATATACCTATAAGGGTTGACACTAGACAAAGTGAATTACCAATTTACGTCCTAACTTGCTGAAGATTTACCATCCAACCAACCTAAAATCATTACCAATTAATTAATTTATGGACGTCTGAATTTCATCTTGAAATTTGATTTTTTTTTTTTTTTTAATGATAAAAGCCTGAAATTTGAATTTAAGGATGAAATATTTATGTTCAATATATATATTTGGCTCTCATACTTAAAGAAGCGCCCGTGGCCTAATGGATAAGGCGTCTGACTTCTAATCAGGCGATTGTGGGTTCGAGTCCCACCGGGCGTGCGAATTATTTTGGTGCATTTTTCTTTCCATTCTCATCCTTTTTTCTTGCGTTCAATATTAACCTTAGAAATTGAAAACATATACCACTCTCGAGAACCAACATCTAGTATCGAGATCAAACAAATAAACATGAGTTTCGCCTTTATCTTACAGTATAATACGATTTTTATGCCTGATTGATTTCGAAAAGTAATCGGTCATTTCCTTTTTGAAAATGAAATAAATTTCGGGTCGAAAATGGATTCCATTTCTTGATCCTGAAGAACCAGGGTTTAGTGAGGAAGAGATGACTTTGATTTCATGCCATTGAAGTTGTAAGCTTTTTTTTGCGTGCAAATTGTAGCAAAGAAAAAGGCGTTTTTTCTAATTTTTATTAATTAATGAAAATTTGAAGCATGAAGAGAATAAATACTCAATAATACTACAATTTTTGGTGCCTGAACTTCATCAGATAAAACACAAATAGTGACTAAAATTTACCTACTTCAACTGAATTTTATTTTATTTCATATTGCTCAACAAATTCAGAATAAATCGCGTTGATCTATAGAGCAAAATTACAAGCTAATTGAGCAATGAATGGCAATACGACAGTCATTGAAATACCTGAGCAAATTGCACTGTCCAGATCATCTCAGCTGAATCACCATGGCTGTACGACGAATCTATCAAATTCTATTTTGCTAATCTTTAGTAATGCCCAGAAACTGATGCTGCCCAAAACTAGGCTACATTCTATCTGTATATACACTNTGTGTGTCTAGTACTTAATTAAGTCATTCTATTATTATAATATGTTCTTTAATATGTTCTTGAGTAACATATGCTTGAAAAGAATATGCTTGAATATTTTCATTGGTCATACATGTTAAAATTTAAGGTTTCATCTTAAAATGTCAACTTTATTAAGAGGAGTAGTCAAAATCCTTATAAATTGGTCTATGTTTTCTCTTTATTCGTTATGAGATTATATCTTTTAACATGTTCCTTCAAGATGGTGGCTTGAATCAGTGTGCTCATTTTTTTTAGTCTTAGTCGGATTGAATTGCTCGTTGGAGATTAATGAACTTTGATACCATGTTAAGATTTAGGGTTACATCTTAAAATGTCAACATTATTAAGAGTAGTAGCACAAACTCTTATAAATTGGTCTATATTTTCATCTTTATTCGATATGGAATTCTATCCTTTAACAATACAATATTTTAGATAATTTTGCCAGGTTTATAAGTTGTTTAAATTGTAGGCTGGCTTATTTTTAACTCTTAAATCAAAATCAGCAATAAGCTCAACCATCCAACACATACCTATAAGGGTTGACACTTGACAAAGTGAATTACCAATTTACGCCCTAACCTGCTGAAGATTTACCATCCAACCAACCTAAAATCATTACCAATTAATTAATTTATGGACGTCTGAATTTCATCTTGAAATTTGAATTTAAGGATGAAACATTTATTTTCAATACATATATTTGGCTCTCATAATTAAAGAAGCGCCCGTGGCCTAATGGATAAGGCGTCTGACTTCTAATCAGGCGATTGTGGGTTCGAGTCCCACCGGGCGTGCGAATTGTTTTGGTGTATTTTTCTTTCCATTCTCATCCTTTTTTCTTGCGTTCAATATTAACCTTAGAAATTGAAAACATATGTCACTCTCGAGAACCAACATCTAGTATCGAGATCAAACAAAGAAACATGAGTTTCGCATTTATCTTACAGTATAATACGATTTTTATGCCTGATTGATTTCGAAAAGTAATCGGTCATTTCCTTTGTGAAAATGAAATAAATTTCGGGTCGAAAATGAATTCCATTTCTTGATCTTGAAGAACCAGGGTTTAGTGAGGAAGAGATGATTTTGATTTCATGCCATTGAAGTTGTAAGCTTTTTTTTGCGTGCAAATTGTAGCAAAGAAGAAGGCGATTTTTCTAATTTTTATTAATTAATGAAAATTTGAAGCATGAAGAGAATAAATACTCAATAATACAATTTTTATTTTAGTGCCTGAACTTCATCAGATAAAACACAAATAGTGACTAAATTTTACCTACTTCAACTGAATTTTATTTTATTTCATATTGCTCAACAAATTCAGAATAAATCGCGTTGATCTATACAGCAAAATTACAAGCTAATTGAGCAATGAATGGCAATACGACAGTCATTGAAATACCTGAATAAATTGCACTGTCCAGATCATCTCAGCTGAATCACCATAGCTGTACGACGAATCTATCAACTTCTATTTTGCTAATCTTTAGTAATGCCCAGAAACTAATGCTGCCCAAAACTAAGCTACATTCTATCTGTATATACACTCTCATGACGCATGATAAATATGAGGGTTCATCTTCAATATTCATTCCTTCGATTATTTGCTAAAGCTCCACTAAAATCCTTGACCGACAAAATTTTGTCCTGACTCCTTTAGAAAAGGTCGTCATCCTGAAAATGGCCGGACGATATTGCTGTACCTCTGGCTTGGCTCAAAACCAAATGCTTCTACTCTGGCTGAAAATAGCTATCGTATATAGAAAGTCCATCAAAGGCATCAAAATTTGCTTTCAACTCAACAAACTCATTTCCAAATTTTTAGCACATTCAGCATCTGGCCATCTGCACCCTCCATATCTGGTTCGTAATGGGCATAAAGATTCACAAACATGAGTAATCAAATTAATTGGAACATCATTGTCCAAGACAGAACCAGAGACAGACAGATCTGATTTATTTTCATGCTGCAAATATACACTACTTTCCTTGTCTGAAGCCGGATATGTAGATTTCTGAGGAATTCCTGTTATGTCGTTTTCAATTCCAACGCATTCACCATCTTCTGAAAAGGGTACCTTACAGCCCAGTGATAGCATAGCTCGCTTTGCCAAATTCCAGGCAGAGCTGCAGGAGAGCTTCTCACTTCGTAACTCCGCAGTCAAGGATTCCATGGTAGACGTTGTACCTTTAACTTTAGCCTCTGCTCCTCCTTATGCCTGTTAACATTCGTCACCATCTGATTAAAATAAACTTCGCGGAACAATATTAGTAAGAAAGAACAGCCTATTATTTATCTTAAGATCAAGAAAAGAGCTTATTGTGTAATTTTGGGCTTAACCAAATTCTGACATAGCACAAAGAGCCGAAAAAAATTAAAACAATACTAAGAGACAAATATCATAACAGTACATTTTTAAAGATGATGACTTTCGTGGGTCTTATTCCAAGAAAAAAGTTGGACCTGGAATTAGCAATGCTTAAGATCCCCGCACTAATCTTACAACCAGCCTTAAATATTAAATATGCCCATAGCTTGCTCACACACTCAATTTTGAATAAAATAGACCATTAAGAAACAAAAACATCATCTTGGGTCACCTCAGTTATTCTCTCTAACAGGATACTTAAGCCATTCCTCCGCTCTTCTCTCAACATATTCTCAAGAGAACAAGGGCACAGAAAAATAACGAACACCACACACTAGAAACATGCACTTCGGATGATAAAACCGGTAAACTACCTTCTGCAACTCGGAGATATTTTTAGCCATGTTCCGACAGATTGCTTCAACCTCTCCTGCTTGAGACACATGGGTGTCAGTTCCAGTTTGATAAACTAAACTTTAGGCACATGCAAAGATTATAACAGCGTATTAAATCATAATCTAGAAGCTATTCACCCACTATGTTGTCATTATACAAACTACTCGAAAAAACCAAATTGATAAGCAAAAATGGATTCACATTTTCTAAAATTCAAGGCTCAAAGTCAATAAAGAAAAGTCATCAATTACAAACTCAGTGTGTACACAAGAATTTGTATGTTTTTTATTCTAGGAATAGAATTTTCTATTAAAAAAATGTAATGTAACATAGATGGAGAATAAAAAAGATCTAGTGGTATCAAGAGAGTACCTGAAAACCTTTAATTGTCCGGTAATACGGATCAAGCGGCAAGCTTGCAAGCGAGACCAACTGAGTTTTTCTATCCCATCCATCATTGACAAGAAAAATTTGTGAATTTGAGTAAAACATCATAGCTCAAGTTAGCAATAGTTCTAATATGAAAAGAATGATGATGGTAAGAGCCTTCTGACAGAGTTGAGAAGGTTATAATTTCTCACAATACAAATAATGCATGTTGGTATGAAGAAGTAATTATTTAGGATACTGTTTTCAATTTTGCAAAACACTGAAACCGTGTTTGATTTGGCGTTTTTGAAAGTGCATTTTTGAAAATATGGTTAAACTTATAATATAAAAACTCAAAACGCATTTTAACGTTTCGGGTGTTTTCATGAAAATTCTGAAAGCACTCAAAACATGTAAAATAAGCATTTAAATAAAATTTATTTAAATTAAATTTTAAAAATTAAAAACTTTGAAAAATATAAATTTAAAATTTAAAAAAATAAACATTTTGAAAAAATAAAATAAAAAATTTTGAAAGATTTATATTATAAATTTTTTTAGGAAATTAAAAATTATAAAAAAAAATGAAAATACTTCAAACTCTTAATGATTATTCACATAAAAATATTTAAATTAACGCAGATAAAAAATATAGTTCAAACTCTTAATAATTATTCATTAAATTTTATTTTTATTTCGTATATCTTGAACTCAATTTACTATTCATTTATATTTTACCTTTGTAGCAAGAAGAAAATATTGTAAGATTCACCAACTTTAAAATGTACATATTATTTGATAATATATTAACATAAAATAGTTCTACTTTTACAAAATAATTAAAATTCAAGGAATAAAATGTCATAATTTTTTTTAAAAAAAAATTTCAGACCAAACGTACTTTCTAATTTTCTGTTTTGAGAAATAATTTTTCAAAATGACAAACCAAACGTATTTTTAGCAATCTTAAAACAAACCCTCAAAATAGAAAACTAAAACGAACTCAAAGCTCAGAACTAAAAATTGAAATACAGACCAAACGGGCCCTTAGATTCTTTGCAAAGAATGTATTTATGAAATTTGTATACTATTGTTTACATGGATGAAAATGGAACAGAAAATTATTTGATACCATTTGCAGAAAATGAAAATAAGCTATGTGAATAATAGACGATACACATTTACAGAAGAAATTACTATTGCAGAAGATAGTCAATGTTAGAAAGCAAAACAACTAAAATCATTTCCAACATGGGCAGCAAATATATATGTGTTCCATGGCCCCAGGCTCACCTGGTATATATAGTTGCCAAGAAGGCAAGCATCAAACCAATATTAAAGACCCTTGTCAATATTTACATCCCTCCATAAAAACTTCCATTAAGCTGATACACAGTAACTATAACAAATGTGCTTTGCATGACTTATTGTTTCTCGCTAAAAAATGTCATATTTTCAGAGACAAATGTTGATCATGCCATAATTCAAAAGCCGTGTAGTTTTGTGAAATTTCTCAACTAAAAATGCAGAGCTACATTACATGACAAATTTGTACGAGGAAAAATACACTTAGCAATACGAATTGATTTTAATTATTGTATTCCAATATTTTTAAGACCCAGCAATTTCACCACTAAATTCTGGAGATAAGGCTTATAATGTCCCCCTCCCTCTTGTACATATTTTCATATTAAAACCCAGCCTAGGCATTGATGGTGTTTCTACTAAAAAAATGATGTTGACATCCTGGTAAGGTTTAATACTACATTTTCCCCTAAAATGAGATATCAAATAATAGCATACACAATGTATATTCCCCTAAGTAATGGAGCCATTTTTTCTCCGTCAGTGAGTGATATTTAACAGCAGTACTATGAAATTTGAACAAACCAATAAAATGGTGTTAACTGTTACATAAAAAATAGTTGTTTCCCTTTACTTTATTTAAAATTGAAACAAATGGAACCAAAAGTATAAATTGTAGAATCAGACTTAAAATCCCATAGAGCATGGATAAATATTCTTCAAAGCCAAGTGATTTTGACTCAGGTTGTAACAACACAATCATGCAAATAAAGATGCAAGTATGTCAAATAATTTGCATGTATGGATGTGAACATAAGCATGCACACCATTTTGACATAAATAAATCAGGGAAAAAAATGTTACAGCTTACAAAATCATTCATTTCGAATCATCTAAGAGGAAAAGAAAATCCAATCAGCAAACTGCAATAATAGTTTTGTGCACTGTAGATAGTTAGCAAGCACAAGTCACGCAGACTGTCATGAGGTGGAAGCGAGTCCAATTGCTCAGTCCAATAGATTAGTTACCAAGCACAAGTTAAACACGCAGGATCTGAGATAAATAATATTATAAATTACCAAGGCAGTGTTTCCTGTTGGAAATAAATCCCATATCGCTTGTGGACAATATCTTGGGCCAACTTATAAACAATGT